CTGATGATGACTACTAAGTCAGAAATGGCAATCCTAATCTCGCTCGTTTTTGTCGGTACCGTTCTTCGGCCTATACCACTAGCCGGTGTGCGGCTGGTGGTGAGTGAGTCCCGTAACAGGCTGGTGGGCGCCTACTACCATCGCATATATATGTAGGCGAAATACATTACCGACAAAGACGAGGGAGACTGGAATGGCCGTTTCAGGCTTATTAGCCGTCATCAGCCAGTCCTATGTAACCACGGGGGAGGCAAATCCCGAGGCTCGAACCTGCGACCTTGTCAGTTAGAAGTCTAACGCTCTAACCACTGTGCAACGTGTTCGTTGCCTTGTCGGTTTCGATCAGGAATATTAACAATGGTAGGTGGGCATTGGACTTTAAGCCAACAAGTCGCTGGTTCGAGCCCTAGGTACCGCAACACCTGGGGTTGGATATGACCGGCTAGTGACGGCTAATAAGCTAGAAACGGCCATTACAGTCCCCTTTATTTTTTCGGTAATGCATTTCCGCTTATAGTATGCCAGCAGTTGGGCGGCCGCTGGTGGGGCTCGAGAGCAAGCCCCAAGACAAAACGGCACGAGTGACTTTCGTAACCCCTCGATCAGCGCCCATCTGCTATGACTATAAAAAATTGTAAACCCTAAGTATATCCTTGTTTTGGGTAGACAATTTAAAAGTGACCTGATTTGCTACCAGATGCATACAAGACATATTTTTTGTTTACGTTTTCCATAAAACATGTTTCATTTTAAAAGTGCAGCGGAAATCAATAGAAAAAAGTATACTGCTTGTGCAGTCATTTCTTAGCGAGTGTAGTTTTTGCAGGCGGCCTAAAGGACGTGCATTCAAAAGCCTTTACCCTAACGTGTCTGGCACGTGGGTTAATATTACAATCCTTTTTTTTATCAAACCTTCCGAATCGGAAACGCATTTCAGCATTTTTGATTAACATTTCATGAGATCGGTCACCTACTATAGTAACTACTTTAAATTCTATCGGAAGAAG